CTTTGCAAATGTCATGAGTGTTAGTGGATTAAATCCTTGGGGGAATTTTTGGTGAAGGCTTTTGGGAAAGTAGTACCTTAACCCTAAGGAATATTCCTAATGGTCTTATCGAATTGGAGGAAGTATCTTTGGTTTAGGAAGTTTTCCAATAATCCTCAAACATCACATCCAATAACTCTCCACACTGGGCATGAGTCAAGCAAATTCTAAGTCCAAATGTATTGTATGTATATGCTAAGCTTTACTGTGAAAGAGGTTCAAAGAAAAGCAACAGTAGCACTTTGTACTGAAAAAATAATTGAGGAGTAAGAGTTAAGAGAATTGGGACTCTCCACAGTGAAGAAGAGAACTGGGTTGGCCAAAAAGTTTGTGTGGTTTTCTCCATAAAATAAAAGACACAGTTTTTAATTTTCACCAGACACTTTATTGATTTGGATATTTTGAGTATTTGGCTATCTTCCACATGATAGAATGTTGCTTGTTCTCAATGTCTCGATTTTAATTGCTATCATTCAACTGGCCTACCTGACTGTGAAGCATCATCCAATGAGAAATCTCCAGCATCAAACTTCACAACAATATTTGACGCTTTGATCGATCACAGCACCTTCTCCATTCACTGCACAAACCTTTTTTTTTGCATTTTTACCATTTTTCAAAAAACAATAAAGTATAATATGCCAAAGTGTCACTTATTTTCTTCCATCTTCAATATCAAAATGGCCACACAAAAATTCACCAATTTTGATAAGTTTTCTTTTAGAAAAACTGAAATGACAGCTGTCACAATACAACCTAACAAAATTGTTTTGAATGAACTTAAAGACAACTAAACGCTACTAGAACCATCTTACAGAAAAAAACCAAATGAACTGTTTGGCCAACCCTATAATAGTAGCTTAAATTACATCTAGCGCAGTACTGTCCAATGGAAGCAGATGTGAGCTGCATAGGTCATGAAAAATTTCTTAGTAATCACATTAAACAGAGTAAAAAGGAATGGGTAAAAATTATATTTTAACAATATGTTTTATTTAGCCCTATGTATTTGAAATGTTATTTCAATATGTAATGAATATAAAATTATTTTAATGAGATATTTTACATTCCTCACACTAAGGGTTGGAAACCCACTATTTATGGGTTTCTAATGTGGCTGAGTGCCTTGGTGATGTACAGTGCAGTACAGTTCTGGGTGTCTGGGTCTGGAACGAGGCTACTGGTAAGTGTCTTAAGTGGTATCAGTGAGTATCTATCAGGAGGAATCAGGAAGGAATTGAAGTTGAGCAGGTGAGGCGCCTATAAAACATGGAGGCCTGAGTCCCGCCACCTGAGAGATCCCACCACTTCCATGGTCTGGGCTTGGGTCTGGGCATTCGTATTTTTTAAAGCTCCCAGGTGACTCTGCCGTAGCCAGGGCTGAGGCCCACTGGGCCAGGGAAGGAATTTTCACAAAATGAGAGTGATTACACATTAAAATGAAAGTTTTAGGGAAGACCATTTATCTCTCATGTCCAAATTTAAGAACTGGATGGAAACTTAGTATCAAGGAGTCAAACTCTCACTTTACAGGGGATGGAAGGCCAACATTGGGCATTACCATTTGGTGCTTATTGATGATTTTGTTTGCTTGTTTATTTGTTTACATCCTCAATGCCTCCTGCCTCCTTTTTCTTTGTTAGCCTAGAAGAGATTGTCAAACTCATTTCCATTTGAGTTGAATTTGGAGATATGTGCTGATGACTGGCAAAGGCCCACACAGTTCTGAGTAGCATGGGTATCTTTATAGGTCAAATCCAAGTACCTTTCCATTGGATGGTGCCACTGGGTGCACGGGATGAGGAACTCCGGTCTCTGCTAGGCCCCCACCCTTATTACTGCTCCTGGGTCTCTGTCCTTAATCCGTTTGCCATCCTCCTCCATTGCTCTGAGGCAGAGAAGGGTTTGGACCTATGCGTGTGATTTATGACTGACATTTGTAAGGCTACTGCATTTTCACCAGTTCTTGCTAACATAAGGGACAATTCCTGTCAGCAAGTTAAATATTTAGAAATAAGAACGCTTATTCTGCTCGTAATTTCATTACAAGTTTTAATGAAAGTCGTATTTGGGAGCTGATGTACTGGACAGAACCCCGTGTACGGCTGATGCATAAATGTCAGTGTAGAGACACCGGCTGCAGAGCGGGCTGCAGCCCCCATGGGGAGCGGCAGGACCTGTGCTGAACACCGGCTTCCCCAGGAGCTCAGACAACCACCTTCTCACTCAGGATACCTAGACTCCCTCAATATCTCTTTCATACAACAGTAAATTGCCCTCTTGCTCCATCTTGTTTCTAAAAGTGGGTCACTCTCTAGTACTTGCCTGTCAGATTCTGGAACATGTCTTCTTTCTTCTTATCTGGCAGCTCAGGCCAAAGAAAATGAAAGAGACAGAGATTGTCCATTTACATCATCAAAAGAGTAAGCCGGAATTTTACCCTGGGCTTCTTAAGATGTGGAAACTGATTTGTGTAAGACCAGGTTTGCACCAGGAAGGTATAGGAATAGCTTCTTATTTAGCTTATGATTCTCTGGTTCTAATAGGTCTATAAACTAAGATTCTTAAGAATCTTCTCCAAAGTCCCTTAAAAACCCCTAACCCACAGTAATGGCTGTTTCAGGTTCCTGCCTGAGGGTCTGGGGGGAGAGGTTCACCGGTGATGAAGGCTGGAACCCTGGAACAGAACAAATCAGTCTCACAAGCAGTGAGTGGCAGCCTTTCTGAATACAGCTGCTTTCTTTGGTAGAAAGCTAAAAATAGCCCGAGCACTGCAGGCTGGTTTCACTCTAAGCCTTCTGCCACATGCATTTGTCTGTTTCATTCAGGGTTTCTGCACGTCTATGACACGGCGATACTATTTCAGAGGAAAAGTGCATTGAAGAAATGCTTCCTTTCCCTCCCCCACGTTCACTCCAGATGTCCTCAACTGTCCAAACTGTTTCATGTTAAGGGAACTCACGGGAATCTTCCAGCATCTTTGCCATCCCCATCTGCTTCACTCATTTTGGGAAAAATCAACACCACCCACATTATGAGCAAGAATTTACAATTATTAGGGTTTTTTTTTCCCAAGGAAATGTTCATTACATGTGTGATTTTCTATGGATAGCTCACGAAATATTGAGTAAAACTACCTTTCCCAGCTGAGGCAGGATTTTACTAAATTCTCTGCTCAGGCTTAGTTTGAGGAGATATTTTTTTTTTAAAGATTTTATTTATTTATCTTTAGAGGGGAAAGGAAGGAGAGAGGGAGAGAACTGGCCTGCAACCCAGGCATGTGCCCTGACTGGGAATCGAACCGTGGTTGCTTGGTTCCCAGGCCCGCGCTCAATCCACTGAGCTACACCAGCCAGGGCGAGGAGATATTTTTTTCATGGACCTGGCTGACTCTGTGGCCACTGGCCAAGCCAGTTTCCCTTTCAGCTCTAAAAGTGACCTGGAAGCCCACTGTGAGGGTAGACATTGTGGAGAGGTCAGTCTGTGGGGACTGGGAGAAAGTTTGCTGGCCCCCGCCCTTCCCCATCTTGTCTCCCTAAGGAAACTGGTTTTGTGTTGTGTGGGGGGTAGCACCACGGTTGTAGCAGGGTGGGTTCCTTGCGTGGTTGTGTGGCCGTCTGACATGTACCTTTCCCCTCTCAGCAGCATGGGTATTAAGGAATAGAATGTAAAAGATTAAAAGATTGGGGGAAGAATAAAAGAAATCAGCCCGCTGCTTCATACTATATATTTACGAAAGGTCCATTAATGAAACAGGTATGAAAATTCCTAACAAGAATCATTTATAATTAAAATATGGAAAATAAGCCTCAACCTTAAATCTGATCACATTGCATATACACTTGTATATACAAAAGCACAATTTTGATGGCTTTAATAGAACTCAAAATCCTAAAGATGAGAGCTAATGTTGCTATGGAAACTTTTACATGTCTTGACTACAGAACTCATAGTTTAAATTTGCAAACTTAGTATCACATTAGCTTTTTTTCCACACTGGATTTCTGGTTGGTCTTTTAAGAAGATAAAAGGAGAAAACTACATGTCATACTAGTATCTCTTGATATACTCACAGCCAAAAGAGAGGATAGTTTGTGATCATTTGACAAATTTTTTTTCTCTGCACAAGGAATCCTCTACAAAAGAACTTACATAAGGGCTTTTGAAGGGTGAGGATTTTATAGTTAGACATGATTAAATTAATTCCAAAATTTTCAAAATTTGAAAGGTTTTCTTTTTTATGGGATTAAATATCCAAAGTATGAATAACAAGCCAGTGGGTTCCTGGACTTAACATTCCAGATTGGACAGAGCTCAAAGCTGTGTACAGAGTAGAAAAAGCAGCAGAACCCAGCACTCAAAGGCATGCAAGGCTCGAAGCCTGTGTGCATCAGTTCCCACCACGCCCTGCGCTGCGAAATGGGGCTCTCTGTACGAAAAGCACTGTGAAAAGAATGCCATTTGGAGAACTGTGCATTAATAATTCAGAGGGCTTGAGTGTCCTTGTCCCTACTCTTCCTTCATCAGCTCCTCCCTTAGCTGTGGGGGCTTGTTGGTGGCAGGTTTGGTGAAACAGAAGCTGTGGAGTCAAGCAGGCCTGAGTGTAAAGTTAGCTCCACCACAGGGCATGTTATTTAACTGAGCTTCAGTGTCGCACTAAATGCAAATAATAATGCTTGTTACATGGAGGTTATGATAAATGATAGTGATAATATATGCAAAATACTGAGTACTTTACCTAAAGCCCAGCAAACTCTCAATAAATAATGTTCTCTTCCAGCTGAAACTTGTGCATCGCGGGGCCTTTGGGGGCGTGAAGGGGCCAGTTTGTCCAGGTCGCATCTGTGAGGTCCTTGGGAAGTGGGCACAGACTCGTCCTCTTGGCCCACCCCCCACTATGTATTTGGATTGTTTTTTACCTAAATCATACAAATAATCTATTTTCTCTGAATTCATTTCAGAGAAATGCAGTGATGGCCTTGTTCTGTTCCCTGCTGTATTCTCATCCATCTCTGCTGCAGCCCGAAAAATAAGGCCTGGCATAATGAATGCTTATTGGGTGCAAAGGTAAGATGTGGGGGTATAATGAGGGGAGCAGTAAGCTCTATTAAAAAATTAAAAACTATATGAATATGAAATTAGGTTGAGGGTTTATGAAGGACCCATGCAAGTATGGGGCCTTGGAGCTGAACTGCATGAGCTACACAGTACATCTATCTTTGTCTGAAGAAATGAACATGATCATGGGAACTGCTAATGAATGATCGATCCCCTGCCTTTTTATAACCTTGTACTGTGCTGTCACCTCCTTTGGTGCTATGACAATTCAGTTTGGTTTCTTGAGAGGCCAGCTCGTGTTGAGAAACCATTATACCCACAAGGTGTGTGCAGTGGGTGTGGGAGGGACAGCCATGGACCTGTATGTAGAGTGTCACAGAAAAAACCCATAATCTGGCTTTTATCAATAACTTATGTATTCATTTGCAAGTGCTGCCACAAAAAGTATCACAGATAAGGTGGTTTAAACAACAGAAATTTATTTCTCACGGTTTTAGAGCTAGGACATAGAAGATCAAGGTGCTGGCCAGTTTGATTTGGGGCTGAGAGCCCTCTTCCTGGCTTGTAGATGGCCACCTTTTCACTCTGTCCTCACATGTCCTTTCTTCTGTGAATTCTCAAAGAGAGAGAGAGAGAAAGACAGAGACAGAGGGGAGGGAGGGAGAATGAGAGAGAGAAAGGGGGATATCTTTTTTTTCTTATAAGGCCATCGATCTTATCCTACCCCTATGACCTCAGTGTTTCCTCCTTAATTACACCCAAAATCCTGTTCCCAAATACAATTACACTGGGGGTTAGGGCTTCACTGTATTAATTATGGGGGGAGGGACACAATTAAATCTATAGCATCAACAAGGCTTATTTTTGGCTTCACCTCAGGTTGTCATCTGAGGACTCACTTAGCTCTTTAGGCTTAAATACAGTCCTCAGATACAGGAATGACATTAAAGCAGCAATTTTCAACTGGTGTGCCATCCACATTTTTAAAACATGCAATATCTGTTTATTTAGTCAGGGGCATTGACCTCTTTTATATCGTTAAATAAGAAAATGACAATAGCCAACACAACAATAACTTGATATGAATGAATCAAAGTTATACCTATTGTTTTATCAGATGGGCACAATTATATCTTTTGGTGTGCCACAGAATTTTAGTAGTTAGTTTATGTGTGGCATGAGGTGAAAAGGCTTGAAAACTGCTGTATTAGAGCAAGGTGAGGCAGAACCAGTACCTCCAGGAAGGAGAGCCGAATGGCGCCCTCCACGAAGCAGCTTTCCCTAAAGATGTGTTGAGACTCTGCTGGGTGTTGAAAGGAGATACCAGGAAGGCACAGCGAAAGGATCTCTTTGGCTGTCAATGAAGCTGCACTTCCTTCTCCTTCTCGCTCTTTCTCTTTCATATTTCACTCCTCTTTTCGATTCCTCCTTCCTGTTTTCCTCTCTTCCTCCATGTTCAATAATATAGTGAGACGCAGTGGTTCTTGGCCCTTTTAATGATGGTTATCTACTTCTGATTTCCCAAAGATGAAAGGGGCAACTTATAAGTTAGGAGTCAGTAAGGGGAGAGGGGAGAATAGATAAGGGGACGGTGGTGGCAGGAGGTCTGGGTAGTGCTGGTTTAAGGCTTGAGAAACGACTGTGTTGTCCTGGCAGGGAGAAAGGAGAAAGGACAGTGTAAGAATGAAGTGGCAGGTGCCAGCACAAAGCCAGAAGTACCCCAAGTAATAACTCTGGGTCTCAGTTTTCTCATCATAAAAAAAACCCAGAAAATGCTGGAGGAGAAAATCCCCAAGGTTCCTTCCCTACTGTTCCATACTCTGTGCCTTTTCCTTCTTCACCTGACTGGGAGACAGCACTGATGCATTAAACTCTTTGTGAGCCTTGTAAGAAAATCGTCATGTAAATTCAAAGTATTGCTCAAATTAATTCTAATGAGGTTCAGGGGGAAAAACAAGTAACAACCAAAACTCTTTAATAAAGTGTTCTAAAAAGAAAAAAGAATTATCGCCCACTTCTGCACTTCCTGCTTTTGGCAGAGACTAGAAGTGGAAATCTGAAAACACTGTGAGACAGTCTGTTCTCATGGTATTTCTAGCTGAGAACAGGAAGGAGGGGAAATCTCATATGAGTGAGAGAGCCTGTTTTTCAGTGATTAGCAGGCCAAAGAAGTTTCACTGGGCAATCAAGCTTGACAGCACCTCTAAAAGTTTTACCTTTATTTGGTCGGCGCAGCAGGCTTTGCCAGAAGTATCACCAGTCACAGAGACACAACCATTCTCCATTATCACGCCTGAGTGGCTACTCCCTCTCAGGCTGGGTGTCAGGTGCTGGAGACCCAGACATAAGCAATGTGGCTCCTACTCTTCTGGAGAATATAACAAAGTTGGAAGGATAAGGTATCTATAAATGAAAAATAATTATAATTCTAAGCGGCATATGCTGAGTGCTAACTTAGCCACACAGACAATGCTAGGAAGGAGCAGTCCACATGCTTCACAAAACCTCTTATTAGCCTGCATTTGTTCTCTACCTCACCAAGGGCTCCCATCACTCATCGCTGGTGTATTCTGCACCTTTAGGCAAAAACATTTCTTAATTTTCTTAACTCTTTTGTCCCTCTCCAGTCACAACAGAAATTGCTCTGTGTGTGCTGCCGATGAGTCATGAAGGCTGAATCATGTTAGCAATAGGATGCAATGATTAATGCATGTTGACAGGCTGGGTGTGCTGGAATAGGGAAGATCCCGAAATCTAGATGAGTTGCATTGTCCCTGATTACCTGCCAGAAGGTTGTGCGTGCTGGTGTCTAAAGCTGCAGCAGACATTCCAGGGAACCCCCTTGGTCACCACAACTCCAGTCAGATGTTATATATCTCCTAGGGAATGAGTCAGTGGCAGCTTTACCACCAGGGTCACTCAAAGGCTCATGTGGAGTGGTGCCCACCCCTTCCTTCCCCTCACCCCCAGTGAAGAACACAGAAATCCCCCATGGGAGAGCAATTCTCTCATTAACTGAATAGAAAACATTCCTGGAAAAAGATGAAAAAGATTTGATTTACCTTTGAAATAATGTACTGATGAGGGTTATATAGGGGTTTTATTGAAATGATCACCATTACAGTATTTATTTAAACCTGGGTAGTATAACTACACTCTGAATAGGAAAGTGCACATAAATTAGACAGATGCAGATGGAACCCATCACACTGTATTCACTGTCGTGTTTTAACCTACGTGACTGCTTTGTATACCAACTCAGAGGAGAGGATGCAGTGATGTCTTCCACAGTGGCTTGGAATTCAGGGTTTCTCCGAGTTAATGTTGTTTGGATCTTTGGGGAATCCTAGGATTTCTTTATGACTTCTTATTTATTTCCTGTTGGGAATACGAAAATGAGTTAAACAGGCTCAGCCATCAAGAGAGCATACAATCCAATAAGTAAGGCAAACAGATACCCAAATGATACGGAGTAGGGAGTATAGTAGGCAGTTAGATAGGCATGAGTAGAGGAGGATAGACAGGCCAAGCACAGAGGGTCACCAGGACAGAATACCCTGGATGCCTCGCAGTGGGCAAAACTACAAGCCCTTGCATGACCACTCCCTTAAGCATATGACATCTAGACTTCAGCTGTGTTTTAGCTCCAGGACCAGAAAAGCAGCAAAACCAGACAGAGCAGCCAAACCAGATGGATGACATCAGGACAAGCTTCATTGACTAATGACCCCCTGACCTGGCACTGACCAATCAGTGGAGACCACCCTCCTGGAAGGCTGATGAATATTCTGTTGAGATCCTCCCCTGAGACCTCCAGATAAAAGCCCTCAGGATGGAGGGCCCAGTGCAGCTCTTTTTCTCACAGGCCCTTGCCTTGCCCCACTCCCTACACCAGGGCATGTTTTCCTTGCCTCTCTTTCTTTTGGGCTCCAGGGGCCCTTCTTTTGCCTCCATGGCTTATTTACTGAGCCTTTTTCTTCTGTGGCTAGCTTCTTTGCCTCTGTGACTTTCTAGACAGACTTTCTTTGTAGTTTGGTCTTGGCTCTGAATTCTTTCTTAGCCAGAACTCAAGTACTCAGTTGGCTGAGCCGAGGTCTAGCAGCTTGTGACGTTCTACCACCAACAGATGGACACTGGATGGGGAGTTCTACAAAATGGGAGTTGATTGCAGACATGATCACCTTCAACATTACAAATGAGAGCACTGGTATCAAGTAATCTGCTTATAAATAATATTTTTTATTTCATGTTTATTGTAGAAAATTTATAAAACAGAGAAAGACATAAAGATGAAAGTAAAAATTACCTCTCAGATCACCAGTGATAACCACTAAAAAATGTTGCTATATATTATTCTAGTAATCTTTCTAGGCATACCTAGGCATTTCAAAACAACAGTAGAATCATGTTGTACACTATTTTACAAATTGTTCTTTTCATTTAACGATATGTCATGACATAGACTATGATCACTTTCCCACAAGATGTCATGTCCTCCTACACCATGATTTTTAATGGTATTTTAAAATAATGTCTTGTCCTATGGACACCCCATACTTTATTTACCCAGTCTCCTAGAGTAGGACATCAAGCTTGTTTTCAGTGTTTCACTAATACAAATAATGCTGCGGTGATCATCTTTGTATATAAATATCTGGGCATCTTGCTGATTATTTCCTTAGGATGAATTCCTAGAAGTTGAGTTGCCAGATTATAGGGATGGGAATCCAAGCTCAGGAGCATGGCCGATAGTGTGATTATGAAACAGGCAAGATGAGCAATTGACCCAGGCACTTCAGCTGTGCTTTTGTTTGTGTTTTATGATTCCTCTATATTGTATAAGCATTGATCCTAGAGATAAAAATGGTCACTCTGGGTCTGCTAGCAGAAAGCTTTCCTAGATTTTGGCTGCCATTTTATCACCTTTAGCAACTTTACTCTGAATTTGGCTGACAAAACTTGTTTTACCTGCCTTTAAAGTACACGAACAGACACTTGCTTACCTTAAA